CATCGCAAAATAAGCCTGATAAAGTATTTAATCATTTCTATAAATTTTAGAACCCAATTTTCATCCAGAAAATTATCTATTTGGCAATAATATAAAAATTTATAAACAAAAAATATGAAAATTTAACTTAACGTGATCTTGGCTTACAGATATGTATTTGACATTTGAAAACGCTACAACTATAAATAAAATGAGTTTTAAAATTGAAAATAATTGTTTTATAGGTTCTTAATTTTGTAGATCGCGTAACCTATAAGGAGCGTTTTCTTTAATAATTGATGTCGATTGTCTCTGCGTTATTTGTGCGCTTGGAAGGTATCAATGAAAATTTCTAATTTTGTTCTCGATGTGTCTTAAAATAGTAACAATCAAGCTATTTTATGGACGATGGTTTCTAATAAACATTCGCCCTACATAGCAATATGTATTTAGGTATATTTAGGATTTCAATTAAGAAAATGAAATTTTGAGAAAATAGTAGATTAAAACAAAACAATGTTTTTACGAATTCCTAATTCATTATTATATTAGTCCAATTTATATGTACCATTAGGACTTCATGTTTTATCCCCGGAAAATACAAAACTTCATAAGTACATAGTTATAATAAGTTGTTGTTCGGCCAGCATGAGAGTTCTTGCGTTCAAATCACAACAGCAATAATTCAAACGCGTTCGCACTTTTATTTAAATACATTTCTTATTTGGCGAACATTTCAAATATTTTAATACAGGTTCGGAATATGGTTCCGAAATTCAGGTAAGCAAATTTGATTATTTATATTAATTGCCTGCGAGAAGCCGACTAGCTGCTCAACTGTACAATTTTGGCATTGGTTGTGGCGAAAAGAATAGTTCCAGCGTAGGAATAACGAGATTGAGCTTTTAGGAATGATGAAAAAGTGCACACAAAGTAATACTACTAATCACAGTCGACCTATACAATTATTTCACTATATGAAATGAATAAACCCCTTTTCTCGAAACTTGCGCCACTGTCGGCGTATTAGGAATAGGATATGATATTTCAAATCATAAATTGTTAGTCATGAAATTACAGGAATGAATCGAGTGAAACCGTTTAATATAGGACTACATAAGTTTTATGCAGAACAATTTCCAAGCTCAAACTGCTATACGCCATGTTGTTAGTAGAAATTTATTACTGCTTCCTTGAAAAAACTTTCATAATAAATTCATTGCCGCACCAAATTCGTGTTACCGCCGACAGGTATTTAATCAACAACAAATGAGGGATTCACGTTTTTCGGAGTTTCTGTTTTTATACTGATGATTAGTTACATTTACATTAAGTTATTCAAATATAGAGTTCCATAAACTTAATTTTCTTCCTCTTGTCTTATTAATAATAATTTGTTTTATGTTTGGAGGTGGCCACTATATTTTTAAACCACTAATAAATTTATTGCACGCAATTTTGTAATTTTCTGTCAAATTTAAACAAGTCGAAATGAAAATTATAAGATAATAAATTCCGCCGTTTTGGTTTTGATTTTGTCAATTTTTGTTATTTATTTTGTAATTAGTCAATTTAAACGTTAAATAAACGTTCAATTTTGACATAGTTTAATTGAAAATATCTGAACATAGACGAATCACGTTATCAAAGTGGGGTACATTGTAAATTAACGATTGGCCCCTGAAATGTTGAAATTTAGGTGAGCTTGCAAGTCTGTTATGTGATGCCCTCCTTTCTTCTGTTGTAAGACTAAAAAGGTAATTCTCACTCTTGTTTAAGTAATGCTAGTTAAGTTCAGGATTTTGTGGTTCAGTTGGCCATTGACGCGATTTTTGGGCACCGAGAAGTCCTTTGATTTTGTTTCCGGCACAAAAATCTTTTTTTTTTCTTTATTATCCGTTTTCTAAATATTCTTTGGGCTCCAAATAACTGTCTTTAGCCCCAAATTGTGAATACCTAACATTTGCGGAAGCCGTATCGGCGGCTATGGAACGATGAATGCATGCAGATAAACTCTGCATTCTTGGTTTAGCATGTACTAGACATGGTTGCTATGTATACTTTTCTATATTGGTTTGTCGCTACCGTGGAACGAGACATGGCAATTTATCATTTGTAAAGGAAGAATAGCAATTTGACTAGGTGAAATAATAAACAATGTTTAATGACTTTAATGACTAAATTATTCGGTAGTGTTTACTTTTGGGCGGTTTCGTTATGTAACTTATGCATATTGCTAAATTATTTGAATTTGGGGTTAACCAACATTACATTATTTTTAGGTTTAAATAAATATTTGTCACGAAAGGAAGGTAATAGGAAGATAATTGCAGATTAACACTTTTATCAAAAAGCGGAAAAATATCTAGCAATAAACAGTAGAACTTTTTTGAAAAAAAACATAAAAAATTGATATAGTATTTCTTATGAAAAAATTGAAAATTTGATTTTTGTGTACTTATTTGTAAGTATTAGGAAATTTTGACATATATATAAAGAAACTTAGTCACTAATGGAGCACGCTTTCAGATGTTTGTAGTAAAATGATGAAACGCGTGTTAGTTTTTTTTTTTAGCTTTTTCTGCTCTAAGCAAATTCACACGCACATGCGTGAAGTTAAGTGAAATTACGTCATAGCAAATTCACACGGCAGCCATTCATTACAAAGATATATCAAAATAAATAAATAAAATAGAGTCGGCAAATGGAAGTAAAATGCTTATTTGAATAGGTTGAAAAGTGGCAATTAATCAAGTAAACGTTTATTGAAAAGATAAAATATAAATCAATATATGCGGATAAAATATAAACATTGAAGAAGCTATCTCTATTAAAAATTGTTCTCAATAAGGTCACGTGAACTCACTCAGAGTGGACAAGACTCATCTCAGAGCAAACGACCACTGAACTCCAAGAGGTAATAAGAACGGTGGGACGGTAACCGTTACAAGATTTCTAATCCTTGTCTGCTAACTAAAGTAACATAAAATTACAGATATTTACGTTTATAATGATGTTTGTGAGCAAAAAATACGCATTTTATAATTTTTAGTCAGATTGTCAGTCCCTACCATATTTTCAATGGATGGTAAATAAATATATTTGGATTATTAGAAAACTACTTTTATTGTTTTATGCCATGCCATATTTCGTTGGATAATTTTTTAGGGCCTTTGAGTTGCTTATACCGTTTTAACATTTTTTTAAATGATATTTAGAAAAAAAAAATATTGACTATTTTTTCTTTACTGACGTCTTTTTGAATATTTGTTCACACGATAATTAGTAAGAAAATGAAAAAACACACGATGTTTTATCAAAAAATATAGATTTTTATACACAATCCCAAATTTTGATTGATGAAATTTTGATATTATTGCATATAAAATTTGCTTCATAAAGGTCAAAACTTAAAAAATATCGGACAATGGTAAATATTTATAAGTTTTGTTCTACTTGACAGTTTTAATCGCATGCTATCACATAATTTAAATTCTCAATTATAAGCTCATTATTTTCTAAATTAAATAAATATCCTTCCTTCAATTATATCGTAACGATAATCGTTTTCTTATTAATTTGATCAAGTTAGGTAATTTTCTTTGAAATTGGAAAATTGCCATATTGGAGACAAAAATAAAAATTCTTTTTGATCAGCATAAGAGCGCGAGCACGCATTTATATTAAGGCACTCTAAACAGCTAGATTAAATACGAGACAATTTAAAATAACTTAACCTTTTTATTGGATCGGATAGAATCTCGTTTATCCATTGTTTTATCGAATCGAAATATAATATGATTTGGACAAGAATAATTAATAATATATTGATAACCAAATAGACCATTGCGGTTCATTCTACATGTTTATGCATAAGTGTAGTACAGAATTAGGTAATAGGGTTAATGTAAATAAAATATTTGTTTCAGGAGGTAGTCATATCAATATTTTTATTATCTCAAGTATTTTATATGCCAAAAATTGTTTGTTTACATTATTTTTAAACATAAAATTATATCTGCTTATACCTACAAAAGGTTATGGCTATTTAAGGGTCTTAATTGGTGGTACCATGGTCGTCGTGGTATTGGGCGTCGGCTGTAAAAACAAAGGCGTTTTAATAATGCATTTAGTTGCATGAGAACAGCGCTTTGCGTGGGTGCTTATCTTACGTTTATCTTACGTATAAACGTGCGTTGACGACGCCACGCACGTTACGTTTCTGGCACGAAATCCATTACTACTCATTTCCTAAATGATTTGATTACTTGGAATTGAATCACGTTTGTTTGAACTTTCTTTAAGTTGAGAACGTGAGAGTATTTTTATGTGTAGATTGAGTAATCAAACAATAATTGTTTCTTTTGTCCATTTTTTTCATAGTCTTTTTAATGAATATAGAAATGGGACTTTTTACGAATTTCCTGCTCCCCATCCTCGGGTTTGCCATTCAAATGTATAGTGAAATCTGCTGGTTATGTGCCATCTCATAATGGCTCGCTTCGTGGGAAACGAGAGAGAACAATAACTTGGCAATTGGTCACCATATATGCATCATTTTTCCGAGTGTATACATCAAGAGAATAACTGGGTATTGATTGAATTTGGTATATTTCCTTGCAGGCAAATTCACCCGTTGATACATTGTGTTCGTGCTAAAATATTTGCATTCCATTCACATATCGGCTATCATTGTACAAATGCACAAGATGGCAAATTTAAGTGGCAGGTGTGACCGAAATAGAACAACCGCTGTCCGCAAAAGTGAGACCAATATCCCAATCACACCTCACGACCGCACGGCATCGGCGCGTTGCATAACACACGATCAATTACAATTATAAACGTAGCATGAAATGCGCGATTGCCACAAGAGAGAAATAAAAGGAAAGGTGATTTGTAGAAATTTGTTTTCATGTTTGTCCCAAGGAAAATGTGTTTTGCGCATGCGCGAGAAAGACATAAAAGCGGACGCGCTGTTTCATTTGTTCAACTTTGTTGTTTTCTTGCATACAATTCAGACTATACATATTGCTGTTGTGATAATATTATCTGAGAGAACATTGGCAAAATGTCGAACTTATCAAATGTTATATTACTGATGCTCTTTCTCAACTATGGTGCAGTTATGGTGTCAAGTCAACGAGCGGTGAGTTTGTTTTTTCAATTAGTTATGAAAATTGTATTGTAAATTTTGCAGTATAATGTTATAATGTATATAATACTTTATTTTGGGGGTGGTTATCAATTGTATATGATATGATACTTTGAAGAGAGCGAAACAGAATCAGTTTCGTGTATGAGTATATCGAACGTTTTGTGTCTGTCAAAACGTCTGTCATTGACGTATTGTTATTCTTTCAGATTGCCGTAATAACCTATTGTCAATACCACGATTTTAATTCGTTTTTCTCTAAATCAGAAAATTTCCCGCTCTGCCTAGTTTCATTGCCTGAAAAGGTTATTCCCAGTAACAGGATGTTTTTACTTTCTGTTTGTTTGATCATAACGGGATTTTGAATCTACCAATCAAAATAAGACTACATATAACTGGTTCTGCTGTGCTCTCAAATTCTAACTCTTGTAGTTAGTTGGTGAGCAGGTCGTGTAAGGTGCAGATAACAATAGAAACTAGTCTACTTTAGACGATGGTTTCCCAAAATTGCGAGATTGTCGTTGTAAACATGTTATAGACACAGAAAAATAGATTTATTAAATTTCTAACGCCTCAGGAACGGAAATGGAACGGCAGTTACGTTACCTTTGGCTCTACTATAGTAAATCGAGATGGCCTAGAATGTGCGCAATGCCTACAATGCTCGTATTTTGGAATGGTGAACAGGGGGCCATGAAGGCTGAAAGCCTTTGGAAGGGGACAACGAGTCGTAAATGTTGGGACCACTGACCTAGATATAAATAGCAATAGCAGAAAGTGAAAGAATTAAGAATAATTTTCAATTCTTATCCTCAAATAGAATGTCCGACTGCCCAACATATTGTGGCTTTTTATGAAAAAAAAACATCGCCATAAATTTATTTTCAATAAAAAATTGAAAAATTCAATTTTGAAATTTCAGAAACGAAGACCATCACGCAACGAAACAAAAACAATGAACCTGCAGGGAGGTGGTACCATAACAATAAATAATTTTGTTAACTGTTTACCAGATGATGAGAGGCCGGGTAGCAAAGGTAATAAATAAATCTATTAATTGCGTCGGAATTTCATCAGATTACTTTGATCGTGAATCTATTTGCTTTAGTAGATTTGTTACACGTTTTTGGAGCATGTAGTCGATAACCCTTTTCATATTGAATAACCTCATCAGTATTAAATTCAATGAATCTTGTCTAAACAAAGCAATGAAATTTTCACAAACTGTTAAAACTGGAACCAATATAAAATCATAATTCACATTTTCAAGACTTGGATTAAAAATTTACATTTCTGAATTCGGAAATTTTTATTTATCTTTCATTTTAGGTCTCAACAATGCAGAAAAAAATTTCTTACTCGATGAACCTGGTAAGTATTATTATTAAACCTTTCTTAATAATTTTTTTTTTGCCACATAACTAAACATATTGACAAGTATTTGAGTAAAGGATGCAACCATTACTTACCTCCCTTACCTTATCTCATTTTGATCAGATGGAAATTTTGATAACGGTAAAAAATTTATTTTTATTCTTTTTATTAATGGTTTTCTCGATGTTATTTTTTGCCAAATTTTCAAAACGAGAAAATAAAAACACGAAAATGGCTAAAATTTGTTATTCTGCTTTCACATTTCGAAGTTATGTAACTTGACAATCACCATTATGACGGAAGCTAGTATCAGCCAAATTTTCTGATATACAAAGTTGTTTATTGCCATGTGGCCACTCTTAAATCACTATTAATTTTGTCGTAGTATCTTCTGCAACTTACAAATTATGCCAATAAAATACATTTTATTATACTAATTATCCTACACGCGCCATTCTACGTAGACGTCGATGAATACATTTATCAAACTCAACTAATCGCTTAGTCACTCCACGTTTTACCGGGGAGACACGGAACACTTATAATAATTTCTAATTAGTTCTGAAGCCGGGAAACAGGAAGCTTATTATCAAAATGCTGATGTTGCTTTGATAATTTGTTTGACATTTTTCAGTATTATTATCCCATGCAAATTAACCTCATCATAAATTTTAGGATTTCCTTTCGAAATTTCACCGCTTCTAATTACGCTGTAAGAAAAAATGCAGCAAATTACATGTCTTTAATAGTGCTTCATTTATTCAATTCGTCAGATTTATCAGTGGAATATCTCTGATATTAAATGAGCCGAACAAGCCGAGACACCTTCCATTAATACTTGTTGAATTGTTAGTTTGTTTCAAGTCTCAAAGACGATCAGAATTACTAACCAATAACAATAAACTCGATGATCTGTTATTATATTCAATTATTATAATTAACAATCAAGAGTACATTGGTCATTTTGGTAGAATAGGAATGATGTTAAAAACTTCGATTATTAAAGTATAGAATATGAATACTATAACGAAAAATATGTGAAATTCGCTTTGAAGGGGTCAAATTTTGTTTTAAATATATTGTTTTTATAACGTTCAGCATCGGAACAGCTAAGAATCTCAAATAAGCGCAAATCAATTTATTCTGATCGTTAGTAGGTGTTGTATTGGATTTTGATTAAAACATGTGAATAATGTGTGTGGTATGTGGGTCTGGCATATCCTACAACACGTTGTAGAAAGTAATCAGCTCAGTCTTCGTTAGATGCAGCAATCTCCGACATAAAATTATTTATTCAAAGCCTAGAAATAGATTTAAAAATTAAAATAATTCGAATATTCAAATGAAGTTTTTAGCATCAATTTTTTTGATTTAAATTTATCTCAGAACCCACCATATTTTATTTACTATATACATAATTCTGCAAAACAGTAGTGTAAAGCACATTACCCACCGACCTGATTGAAGTACACCCTAACCGTGCGCAAAGAACCTACATAGTAACTATTAAGTTGGTCTTTTTATTTTAGAATGCCCGTTAACATCTTACGAATTCCACCAACCTCGCCAAACAACAGATTACATTCGTGTAAAAACTCCAGTTCCCGATATGTATACCGGTACAGTTTGTGCGTGGATAAGTACTGGAGCAGACGGTATGATGCAAGGCACATTGGTCAGTTACGCAACCGCGAAACAGTTTAATAGTTTAATCCTGTTTGGGTACAAGAAGAACGGAACGGCAAAACTAGATGTCTTCATCAACGATGAAGGGTATTTCACTGATCTACCTCTTACAAAAGAACGGCAAATACATTTTTGTGCTGCTTTCAACGTTATAGGCGGATATGTGAAAATTTTCATTGATGGATCTCTCGACAAAACCATTGCTCGATTTCAAAAGAAAGTTGTTATTGAAGGTGGTGGCGTTCTTATTATCGGACAAGAGCAAGACGGCCTTGCTTCGGGTTTCATGCAGGACCAATCATACAAAGGTCAAATTAGCAATTTCATGATGTGGGATAGAGAATTGGAAACACGAGAGATAAGAGTAATGGCGGATGAAGGCTGCGAATGTCCCAGGGACTATTTTGCAGCATTAACACCAGATTCAGTGACACTAGCTGGCGGTGTTTCTGCCAAAGTCATGAAGAAATGTCCGGCTACAAAGTGATTATTTTAAAGTATAAAACACTGACTCTGTGCTTTAGTTTTTGTTGTATGTTTTTCCTATTTCTGTTATTTAAATATGTTTTACTGTGCATGTTGATCGACGCCAAGTTAGGGTAATCACTGCAACCGCAGACAAGCATAGTCGTGGCGAGCATCGGTAAAATTTGAAGCGGCTGAAGTATTACTTCGTTATTTTTCTTTTACGTTTTAATTTACATGTAAAATATAATACATGAAACCTAAAAGCTAACAAACGTTTTGTTATTACCCAATGTGCAATTTGATGCCCGTCTAGGTAAGACTTACTGCTTGATAGGGTTTTGCTTGGAGCTAAAATGAAAAATTATTTGTCACCGATATTCTACACATTTATCATCATTCTTGTTAACGAAAAACCTATTAATTAAAACAAAATAAATATTAAAATTCTAGTATAATACTTTTATAATTTTACCGAAGTTTTATTGCAGTGTAATATTTCATTTTGCACGAGTTCCGTAGTTATGTGCGTAGTGTTTTTTTATGTGAGTAAATAAAGATGTATTCTAATGGTATTCTTTTCATCTTGTAAGATTGTTCATATTGCATCAAATAAATAGTATTAGAGATAAGGGGTTAGGGTGTGTACGATAATACTTTTTAAAACAACTATGACATTAGTGAAAGAGACTTTGATTAGTTTTGAAAAAATGAAAACGTTTCGTTTAAAAATATGGTATACATCTGCTCTCTGTAACAAGATAGAAATGCTCAAATATATCGTCATGGAGGTCAAAACGAAGTAGTATCAAATCTATTACAGTAACGGGAGTCTTCTTTGAATTTTAAACAACTTTCATGCTTTTTTTTCATTTTTTCCCTATGAAGAAATGACAAAGTGAATATAAGTCTGTGATACAACGGATATTATAATCGGTAAAGTAGTCGATCCAAAGTTATGATAAGTGTAAACAGATTAGTATGAAATCAAATTGAAAGCGCCATCCCGGAAATCCTACATTTTTCATTATCAGAAAACACACACACACAAAAAAAAAATCCGATCAACGAGAAAAGTAATCACAGTATATACATAAATAAATATGTTAAACTCTGAATTGCGCAGATTGGACTTGAAACGGCTGAAATACTGCTAAAAATATAATGAAATCATCCAAAGTTAGTCGGTTTTACCGTGAATTAACCGGTTTTACCATATGGCATATGCCACCAGTAAACTGGTAATGTAGGCAAATACAAAGAAATAAGTTAAAATTTTACTGCAGGAAGCACTGAACTGGTAAATAAAATTAACTTTCTTATACTATCATACGTTTGACATGCTCGGCACTTACAATTACCTGCCCACAGTAAACTTACAGGTACCAATTCAAATTCAGATATTCATTTTCGTCGTGCAAAACCAATATGCGATATGAAATAAGAAATAAATATAATACATGTCAAAAATTATAAAAACGGATATCGTTTTGGTGTAATTGACGAGGACTCAAGACAGACTCAATGAGTCTTCTAGTCAGCGACACGTTGCAGCCGTATTGAAGCAGCAAATATAGAAACGGAAAAAATCAATCAAGATATCTGGACCCGGACTGTCCTAGCTTTCCCAGGCTATACGACGATGATTATCAGGCGTCCAGCCTCAACGTGAATCGATATACCAAATGATTGCTCGATTCGAAACAACTGTAGTATCAAATCTTCCATAGTACGGGTAATCGACTTTCGTCGTTTATGCGTTTTGGACGACCAAAAGAGAAATCGGTGACATTCGGTCGCAGAAACCCTACAACAATTCTTAATTCTGATAACGTCACGGAACAAAACTTCGAAGTACAAAATAAATCCTATAAACACTCAAAAAAAGTTTTGAACTAAACAAAATAGCCTCCTAGCGACAAATACAATCTCCAACCACTGAAAATTTCAATTGGTCCAGTAATTGAAGAGAAAAGCGATTTCTTAATAACGACAAGAAGACAACAATGACTAACAAGAAAAAACAACAACATAATAACAAAACGATCTATATATCAACGCCACACAGCAAGAGAATACAAATTATAGTCAAATTATATTGACGCAATGAACTTTATAATCCTGTCAAACTCTATAAAATTGTAAGCCATTAGCTCAAATCTAGAAAACGTCGTAGTGGGTCAGATTTGCTAACTATTCATCAATTTCCCTCCATATGTTATAGCATACTAGAAAAACTGTAACAAGTAAATTTGCAATGAACTGAAATTTTACATTTGTATCGTTTTAAATTTCCATATGTCTTGTTTTGAATTTATGTGCAGAATTGCTACAATGCTATTGATAAATTAATTTTTCTTATAAAGGTCAAAATTGTAATCGTATACTAGAAAGTTCAAAGTCCTCCACTTGACAATTTCCAATACCCGCGCTCACGTATATATATATAATGCATATCTATTTAGGCGTTCTTGACATTGATTAATTGTAACTTGCGTCATATGTTATATAATTGAATTTATTGTGCGCCTTGAGACTTCAGTGAAATGAAACTCAATTCGACGTGACCGCATTTGCATGTGCGCTCTCTCTAAAAAAACGCATTGGATTTCGAGATAAAGTGACCAACGTAGTGTTCATAATGATAGAATAGTTGATAGGGTGGCATTACGTCTGGCAATATCGTTAATAAGTTGATTTTCAAAATAAATAAATCTCATTCCAACTAGCGTGATCACACTTAGCTGAGTAGAAAAATTCCATTCGATTTATTCGAAATATCGACTGTAGTTCCAATTCCAATTTTACCACAAAAACCGTAGCGCTTTGTTAGTTTTAGTTGAAGATTTCGACTGGGATCTCCAACTTTTAGATGACTGAAATTGCTTTTCTGACTCTCAGCTGCTGATCTTGACTCCGAAAAATACGACTCCCATTTGACGGAGTGGTCCTATTTGAAAAGGCGAAATTCCACCATTTTTTCGATTATTCTTTTAATTGGTAATTAAATTACACTGAAATATACTCAAACAGATAATCGAGGAAGCAGTTGATCTATAAATCAGACTTAAAATACATATACGTATCACAAGTTAGCAAGGTTTGCCTCTTCTGTATTACCTAATTTCTGACAGATGATACGACTGGTTATCTAAACCCTCGTTTAAAGCTTAAAGCCAGGGTTGTGCATAATTTTGTCCCTGTGCCATATAACCAACTTTTAGAGATTTAGCTGGGCTCCACAAAACATTTAGTTTTTTTTCCATAAACAAAAGTTGGGAAAGTAGGGATGGATATAAGACGGCAATCGTTATAAGGATCGCCTTTCTCTAGAGGGCTTATTGGGCTGTCATGATGTTTAGAGCAGCTACACGAAAAGTGCAATGGAATTCAAGTGCAATGATTTATATGAATATATATATATAAAGTGTCTTTATAATATACACTACGACAAATGTGATGCAGTAATATTTGTATATTCAAATTAATCACTCAAGGGCGACATCTTGAGTTTTATGTTGATATACTCGTTGTTATTTTATTGTCTTGTGGTTTCAAGAATTAACATGATCCTTTCAGATATTAAATAAGTTTCGCTATAATTCTGAATATGATTTATTAAAAAATAAAAAAATTCATAAAGATTAACCATATGCAGGTATAGTTCATATACACACACATAATATATATACATGATACGTGTCTGTGTAAATCTGACAAGGTGTGAATTAGAAAAATATAATAGGAGTAGAGTATGAAGAATTAATGAAAAAATACAAAATAATAAGAATGAAAAGACAGTTGAAGTGACAATTTGCTTTGCCATGCATAAGTGAAGCATAGGCGATAAATGATATACCAGTATAAAATTTCAAACAGTACCAAATCATTTTGCTAATTAATTTATTTTCAGTGGTTTAATATAGTCACCAGAAGTTTAATATTCAACAGTCGATATTTCTGAAAGGAACTTCCGGAAATATTCATAACTTCATTAAAAATGGTCATATAAAATATATATTTCGAAATCAATTCGCCAAAATTTATGCTTGTTAAAATTTGTTGGAATAGTCCTACTGGGCAACATATCATTAACTAGACGCATAAATAATAATTATACATAAATTACACAACACAAGGAAATTATGCTATACATATCATTGGTTTTTAACATATAATACCACCAAGCCAACAACAAATCACAAACAACCAAAGTGTAAGTTATAAACGTTAACGTTCAGCGAAAATTACGAGAAATAACGGGTAATTTGAAAAATGCTCAGTCAAAATTGACAATGAATAAAGAGGCAGATAAACAATCGACACAAGGATCAGTGGTTTTCATAAACGTAACCAGACTCAGAAGGCTTTTCTAAGAAGCTTATTCTGTACCTAGGTTCAAAAGCCCATGTCCAACAACTTACTATCAAAATAATAAATTTTGTGAGTGAAACGCCGAACGTGAAAAAATACATTGTGGCTCTACATACACGTCTCTGTTAGTGATTGTCCTCTTCGAATTTATATAGACTTGATGATAAATCTTATTTCGAGCAGTCAATAAGAAATAATTGAAGATTCCCCATTGACTATTATATATATACAAAATGAAGAAACGATGTAAAATGTAATCCATTTTCAGTAGAATATCAAAAATACAACTTTATCCTCCACCTTGTACCACACACATCGATTTTATATTTGATTAGACAAAGAAATACTAAAACAAAAAGGGTGTTAGCACATAGTCTCAGTTTAGTCACCGTACCGGCGAAGGTGTTACATGAATCTACACAACTGTGTTCTCATAGCATTTATCTTCAATATCATCTCTGTATTCAACTGTTTCAACATTTGGAAGTGCAACATACAAAGCCCGTTTCATTCTTCTTGTCTTATTTTTCTTCCACACGATGTTTGTGTTACCCTAAAATATTAATGGGTATAAAAATACTTTTGTTGCACGATGGCCAAGGATTCGTTTAATAGGAATTATGCAAGTTTACAATTAAGGCCTTACAAGTCAGTTACGAATCTGTATTTATATGTTATGGATAATACCTGCTTTTTCATAACATTTTTTATGTTGATAGCGACGGCATCATTTTTCTTAGCTCTTTCAGTCAACTCTTTCTTCATGTCTTCAGAGCACACAAAAACTATTCCCAAGTCTTTTTTCACACTTTCTCGAAGTCCCTGAGTGGTAATATGCAAAATAATCAATACAGTCTATCTTCTATTACAACTAGTACATCATATAGTCTGGAGTAAGCAAGCAAAGATATTTATTCGAATTTAAAAATGAAACTTACGATATTTAATAATGAATCGTTTGAATAAAATTTTGAATGAACCCCAAATAAAATCAATCATCTCACGCTGGGTGTAATGGAATGGTTTTTATTGAATCAGAACGATATCTTTTCTATCAAATACATTTATACGTATGTGAAGCAGAGGGTTGCATACGAAAAACTCATCACTTATGGATGGATACTCGATGCTTATATACACAGATGCAGTCTTTTTGCGCGGCAAATTTTTGCGCTGTTCAGGATATATACCGTATACCCGACTGGCTGCAGTACGGGACAAAGCAGGCATATAATTATATAACGTAGTAGGCCAAAAGTAAGCAAATAAAATTGTATTCACGCCAAAAATATTGGTTAGCAGGAAAAGTTTCGTGACAACGGCACCAGTCCTTTATGCTTACCTCGTATGTTTTGAATATTTCAATATCGTTTTGTTGAATTAATTCTGGGGTCACAATTACCACCATTTTCATACATTTTTCCAGAGTTGATCTGAAGTCGTTTCCAATGGTCACTAAAAAGCGTTAATTTTCGAAATCACGGAAACATAACTAACTCATTATATATATATATATAATGTGATCTGAAGAAATTGTGGCCTGCACATGTTAGGTAATCGGTTAACTTAGTTTGGCCTCCAAAATCACCAATGTGAATAACTTTTACAACGCGAAAAAAATTTCATGTTAACATTTCTCGATTTCACAGTTTTAGATTTCCATTATATCGCAGTCATATTTGGCGGGATCTAATATACGACGTATTGTATAAGCTAAAATGTTACAAAATCATTGAAGCGTTACAGTATTGGCCAAATCGGTTGAAGCTCATAACTAGAGACGGCTTTGTACAAAATTTCAGAGGTTCCCAAGGAAACCAATGTCACATGACCGTTGCTCAAGTAGCCAATCTTTGCAGGGTTTATAACAGAAATTGGTTGAATTTCCTACCGTAGAAATTATCAAACGAAGGGTCATGTCTGAAGGGCAAAGGTCTGGGTCTACCAGGAAATATCTTTAATGCGACAATCTAGGTGAAATAGTTTTATACTTACTAGATATATCATTATGACTTTTGTTTGGATCATAGTAAGTCCCTTTTGATTTATTCAAACAGTCCATCAGAACATCAAGACCGTTATTGTTATTGTTGTCAAATGCATCAGGCATGTAGACCAAATATGCTGAATACTTGTCAGCTGAATTGAAACAAAGAAAAATAGAATTTATATGAAAAATTGGACAGTTGAGCGCAATGGTTTTGTTAATATTGTGAATAATAAGTTTTTCTCTTTATTTAGATAATAATTACTTCGGACCCATATGTATTTGCCGGATACGAGATAGTATTAACTATTCTATGCTTAGCGTTTTTTTCCGTTTTGTTTCTCCACCTGGTTGACAATGTTAACTTGAAATGATCCAATCCTCTGTCAGAAAATTCATGACACTGGCTATCTTGATTTTGCTCCAACCTCTCGTGCCCAATTTCAATAATAAATTTTTTTTTTATTCAAGACCGCTATATCAAATGTCACTGCACGTTTATGTTGATTGATCACATACTTTCCTTTTTCTTTCCAAAGCATTTTTTCCAGAAATAACGTATTTCGGTCGAAAATTGCCAATAAAGAATTCCAAAAATAACTGCGATGACCCCGCAAGCTGAAACGAAAAATGATGTCCTTTGTTAGATCAAATTATGAAATATAATTTTTTAATGGTAGTTTGCCGAGTCATTATTATGTTACTTTGTTATTAAGAACTTGTGTTTCTCATCAAGAAGGCGAATCAAATATTAGTTTTTTTTTACCAAGGGCGGTTCCATCTGACTTACTTATTTTAAAAGACGTGACTCCAGCTCCGACTTCCTAATTGACAGATTTATTTTTTATTTAATTCTGCTTTTTACATCAATGTCTAAAAATATTCAATTCCAAATCTATATTCCGACCCCCATGATAATCAAAAATTGAATAGAAATATTTGACTTTGCCTGATTTTTTCAAAGAATGCTGAAAATCCTGATTCTAAAAACTTCAGCTCCTAGAAACTTGAATCTTTTACTTTGGACATTTGCCTGAATAATAATATCAACAAAATAGGCAAACTCCGACCCCCCCCCCTCCTTACCTCCTAGAATTATCCAAATTATTATCAATGTTTTGTGTCTTGATTCCGCATACCGAACAGTAACTCGGAATTTATCTCTTGGGCCAGCCCCAGTAGTTGCCAAGAGACAGGTGTAGACGCCGCTATCTGAAAAATCTGCATTACTGGAAACAAAAAACAATATATTTAGAAATAACTATTTTGTCCTTGTGTTGTTCACTTAAAAAATGACCCAAGTTTTCATTACATCTACGAATACCAACTAGTTTCATTTACATATTACTCTCATAATATGTTGGTAGAATGTGTGGGTTTGCGGGCGTGGGTCTCTGTGGACAATGTGGCAAAATTTGAAATATCAGTGCTGGGGCTGCTAATGTCACTAGTGCATTATGACAAGTGCAAGTTTAATGCATTTTCATATTTATCTCCCCATTTAGAATCTTATCCTTTTTTGTTGGTTTGAGTTTAACCTACAAACAAGGTAAAGGGCATGCAAGATATAACATTCCACGATTTGAAAGCAAATCAAGTCACAAGTAGGTTTAAAGAATCTATTTCCAACGTACGGATTAAATAAGCGTTTTGAGGAGAAAAAAATTCGAAATTTCAAGTAACTAGTAAGCATGTTTGGCCGATCCTTTGCCCCAGGAAAATCCATTCTATTTTTCTATTTTGTGTATTATTTTGTGTCTAATTTTTGTATTGCAACCATTAATTTGGTAAAATAATATTAATGTTTTTTTTTCATCTCCGGTTCGACACTGTCTGCCACAAAGAAATTCGACACTATATTATATATGACTATCTTGATATTGAAAAAAAAAAATCGAATGCGGCCATTTGCAGTATTTTTCTTTGGATGTAGCCCTAGCAAAACAAAAAGCTAAATGGGTATAGCGTTGCTTGATTTTGGCAGTTTATTTTGTCAATTCAAACGTATTAGCCAACCCACCTGAATGTATAGGTCGCAGTAAAATTGTCAGCAAGCCTCCTTTTTTGAGCTTCAATTGCCTCAGCTTCTGTTAGCGTTTCACAAGAAGCTTTGTTTATGTGACGTTCCCTGTAAAGGACGTATTTCGCGTATTCGTAAAAGACTCATGAAACAGCAAAAACATTTGCTTTATTTTTTGGAATGTTGTACGGTGAGCCTCTGATTCGATTGCCGAAAAAGTCGTTTTTTACCACATATAGGTTTTTATTTTAACCGCTCATTCGAAGATTTTGTGTTCGGGCAAAAACGGTAATATGAAAAATCTAATAAATAGATATGAGAACTCTTTTCCGTTGTCGATATAACAAGTCGACGCCAAAAGCATAATTATTTGCCCATGTGCATCGAAAGGGAACTTCCTCCTTAGTCATATAGTACACATATCCGTGAATACTCACGATGAGCAGTTGTCACTCTTTTCATTTACCCTTGAGCGGCATATTTCAGTGTTGTTCCTAGATGGCAAAAATATTGGAACAATTTTAATTAATAAAATATTAGATAATATGGAATTTTGACATATCAGCTACATTAGGCAAGCAATAAAAAATCCAAAGCTGTGTTTTGGCGTCCTTCAGCAATCCTAACCAAGTTATATATTGGAGCCATAGTTATAAAATATTTGTTAAAAAATTTCATTGCAATTTTCGCATCACATTCATTTTAACATAACATAAAGGAATGAATGAAATTCAAGTGGTTTCCAACTTGCGGATGAAGCAGGCACAAGTATAGCCAAGCTTGTCCATGGGACATATTTTTCTGTCCCATCCCATCCCATAGCAATTATGCCTGTCCCATCCCATCCCATGGGATTCCCATTGGAATAAAATTCAATAAAAATTGTTAAATTTAGGTTTAGCGTCTACTAAATAGAAGTACATATACTAAGAAACATGCAAAACAACAAAATTTACGGACTTTGTTAACTTTATATTCATAACTATTATACATGTGTTCATCAGCCTTCCTGAAGTATATTTTTAATGCTGAATATATTTTGCTCTTTATAACTAACAAAAGAGCTATGCTCAAATATATGGACACGAAGTCCATAACGGAATGTTTTACCATCATTTCCCCGAAAATTATAGGATGGGAATCCCATTCCCATGGACAAGCCTGCGTATAGCAGAAGATATCTATGTCGGTAAATTAGATTTTAAAAAGTTAAAATAAAGTTATTTCGAAAGGAAGTTTGTAGATTAATTTGAACTCAATCGTTTATTTAACTGATTCATCGTGAAACTTGAGTTTCTTGACTATTTACAGACTCTTGTCCGACATTATCTAAGATTTTCTACCTCAACCAGAATACAGTGGTTTGATCATTATTTCCTCCAATATTTCCTTTGCAATGAACGTCTAAACTATTTCCAGGCTCTACAAAATGTTCATCTTCTGATGCAACTATTGTAGGATTGTTTACATACTCGAATTTTTCTAATAAAACAAAAACAATTTTTTTTAGAACGCTATTATTATTCTCTAGTTTTTGATTTGCTGAAGTACCAGAGACATTGGTTTTAAATTTAGCAAATTAAAAATAGCTATGTCATATAGACAGCAGTTTTGGCAGTATATTTTTGCAATGCTTCCTTGTTGACATAGAGTTTGTGTTCACTTCAAATTTTTAAATATTACATCTTCAGGTTATTTCAACAAGTGCGTTAGAATGTTGCTTTTTCAGGCAGAGTGCTGTTTTAAGAATGTTGCGCATATAATGAGAAAATAAACGAAAATTAGTCAATGGGATTTTTGAACCAGAGACCTCTGGGTTTGCATGGTCAACGCAATTAATAACTGGATACGATATCGATATACTGTATCACTGGATATTTTTTTCTATTCTTGACCCAGAAAAACGTTTTCTTTTTTGAGGGCTTTTTATTTTTTATTTTCATCTGGACTAATATCTGATCAGTGCAACTAAGTTGAAACTCCTACAAAAAAAATAATCACACAGTCATTTTATTTGTACCCAAATTTTGGAAATAAAACTAAAAACCTACAAATTGCTGGAAATCCACGAAAACTAGCTCACGTTAACAACCATGCGCCTGAAATATGATCGAGGTAAAAAAGTGTCCAGGCTGCTTCCAATATTTCAATTACCAACCTCGGAGAAATATTAATGAAGAACGACATGTTTATTCAATTGGAGGAAAATGCAAATATCAGCATATATTGTTATGAATTTTTTCATACCGTTAAATATTCAAATATTTTCTTACCTCGTATACAGACTTTATACGAAGTTGACGTCAGCTCATTTCCTCTGTAATCCAGAATACAGTGATATAATCCCGGTGTAGTGTTGTATGACGGTTTTGGAATCTGCAAGAAGAAATCATTCTAGTCCATGCTATTCCAAACTTTCTTGCCAATTTCAACTTTAACTCAGAGTTATTTATTTCATCTAGAAATGTCATGCCTTTCAACATACGTTCATATATTCAAGTATCTCACCTTTAGTGATTTGAAGTTTATTTCATTATAGTTATAGTTCCCATCCTCTTGTTTAAAGTGTTCGTTATTTTCAGAAATTATTTCACAGTCTTTGTACCATGTTGTCGTAAATACACTGTATTGCTCTTCGGACATCTTCATTTTATTGTTTTGACTTACTCTCGCAGCTGAAATGAGCAAACAATGAAGTACACTACAGTACATTAGTTTCTCACAAAAGGAAGACCTTTATTATCTTTCATGAAGTTCTATTTCAATTTGTCTTATATTTCGAAATCGATAATATTCGTGGTCTACCGAGATCCCATTGCTAGTAGCTTTTGCTAGATATGTGGTGCATTTATTTCACTACGGAAAATTACAATATTTATCTGAGTGTAAAGGAGATGATATTGGAAATATTTCTCTATTTTTGCGACAGAGTAACATGCAAACAGAATAGTTTTAAAAGTCGTTAAACATAATTTAACTATATGCAAAAAAGTGAATAATATCGTATTTGGTTACCTCAATTCATCTATTCAGGTCAGTTGATAATAAGCAATATTTATAATTGGAAAAAAGTAATAAAATTTACTGTATGAAAAAAAGTAACAAAGAAAATAAAACGAAAACTGTTTGTAGTATACCATAGCAACTTAAAGTGATCTCTTCTCCTCGGTCTTTGGTACTATCAAGTAATGTACGTGAGCAATTCATTTCCGGAATATTTTCCAATTCGGTTTGAAATTTATATTCAAATGGGTCGCCGTCCCAAAACTGAAAATGATACGGTCAATTGATGGAAAACAATTATCGATGAGTCTGCTAATAACAGCCACGACGCCAGCCAATAATGCACTGAATTAGGATTCATATCTATTGTATTTCTTGTAGTAAATAAACATCAAACTGAACCGTTGTTTTGTTATTAATAATTGCATAAATACTATGAAATAATTATTCATTTATTAATTGTCTTTGTCAATAGTAGCTTGTTTCTATCTCGAACACAAGTAAATAAAATTATTCATCACATTGCGTCAACTAACATAATTTTTTTTTTTAAATTTTTTCGATCTTTCAAAATTTTAATACATACAATTTTAACGGAAATATTAGCATTGTTCCATTTTTCGTCCGCATCACCAAAGTATCCTTCTTTATGTCTGCCACCCCAAATTATGGTTTTGTTGAATTCAACATTACCATTTCTAGTGATGGTGCACTGAAAGAATAATATAAAATATTTATTTCAAATTATCAATGGGCCATATAGCACCTAAACAATTCCTGAGCGGAAAATTGAAAGTGCGATGAACATATGATTTGTAACATTGTGTTTTATAGAGAATGTGGTTTCCGTGGCATGAGTTTGCATTAATTAGGTGAATTGTTTGTTTGTTGGGCAGATTGTCAACGATAAGCAAATAACTTTCAATAATGAATAGATGCTAACTGTCGTCAAAATATTTCTAAAAACAGGTGAGCTTGATGTTTTCGTGTGTAAGTTTGGTCTGAAGTTTTTCACATTCTGCCCATATCACCCAGAAAGTATCTGCTGAATAAATTTTCGTCTTGGCCAGTTGCGTAATGGCGTTAAGATGGTACATAAATACCAGATCAGGCCTGTTTCTGATTAACCTGTCCCTGGTAATTCCGAATCATGGATAAGATTATCATCCCACTCTTGGCGTGCTGGTTAATAGATTTGGAGAGACGTATGAACGTAAATGTTGCTGTTTACGTTTATGCGTTGAAACAATAACTCGGCTAGCTATTGACACGTCACAATCAGACTGGTAACCCCGATGTGATATTGCATAATACCAATGTTTCATATGAAGTTCCCGCGCAAAAATATCACAGACTTCAGTGTTTTGTGATTGTTGATAAACAATGTGTTAATTTCTATTATCGGAAGTATGGGAGAAACTTTTCATAGATGTCCGGAAAACATGACTAAATCTGACAATAAATATCACAATAATGCAGAGTAAATACTCTGGTTCCAACATTATCAATGAGGCCTAACCGCGGAAAATAGTTTGTTGATGAAACTTTATAATGTTTCCGTGTTGGATAGAAACTAAATGATTGGAGTATATTGATCTCATTTTCAATTGTCGAGAATTTCACTATTATTATTTAAAAATTAGAATAATATTTAGTTTCACAACAGAATTAAAATATAACTTGAAATTCGGATAAAAGATAACATTGATGAAAAAGTCGTACTGTAATGTTTTCATTGTCATCGCCTGGGCGATCTGGCGGTGGTGGATCAAATGGAATTGCCGGAACCAAACTTTTGACGGCTTCTTCACATGGAATTCCAACCGGAAAATCTTTCCATAGTCCCACCACTGGAAAATAGTAACGTGGTTGATGCTAACGTTTGAACATTTATATACATTTTAGATTATATGGACTTTTAATGATACGAGCCAGGCTTCAGTGACCCTTCGAGCAAATATCATAAATCTGACGCGGCAAATGAGTAGTGTCGAGAACTAAACCCAAATTTGGCACTGCAGATCAGATATTTTCTGTTAATGACATTGATCAATGCGCAAGCAAGCGTGAACATATGAAACCATCTTTATCTATAAACACATCTCCATACCTCTAAAACTAGCAATAAACATACATAATTTCCCTTACCATCTACTTCTTGTGAACCTACAATACATCCACAAATAAGTCCAAACAATATATTCAATGAGGCAGAAGTCATCGCCATTGCACAATCAGAAATTCTTCATCCTAATAATATATGTAGTCTTATATATATACACTTGCTAAAAGATACAGTCAAACTGAACTCAATTATTCAATTCTCTATTTATCCAACGTAGAATAGTTTCGCCTAAATTTATATACAAGATTCTAACAACGAAAAAATGGGTCTCATTACGCCGTACCGATGTTACAATAGCCTCATAAATTCGAAGAATTTACCCAATCGCAAGAATTGCCGTAATTCAAAGGAATGTTGTTTTGGTTCGTCGATCATAGCGGTCAAATTCAATGTTTTTATATTACTACGCTGCATATTACATAATGTAAATAAGAATCAATATTTAGGTAAAGATTATTTCCTAAAATTCTCCTAATTTGTAGATTATTGAAGATAATGGATGTCTGAAAGACTCATAACAGGTTAAAATAATGGGTACAAACGCACAAGACGACGCCTATCTGCCCACAAATGTGCATTGGAGTATAACGTTGTATCGCATGTACGTGAAAGCAATGACATTAAACAACACGATGCGCAACTCCGGCATTTTTGTCCGAAGATCGTATTCGATAGGACGCTCCAATGCACATACTTGACGAGACGAAAACGAGCGGATGTGTGCTGTATTCAAGGCGTAGCACGAATGGTGTTCGTGCCTGCTTCGACAGTTGTTGTCGATTTTAATGATATTTCGGAAAGTTAAGGTAAAAAGAAATCGGAAAAAGGTAAGGTAAATACTATTGTGGTATATCACACCCGGGCATCGCACTGTTAAGTACATGTGGGAAAGCCAGCCTTTGTCAAATACTACGAAGTTATTAATTCAGTACGGTACGTAGTTGCCCATTTGCCAAATTACATATTTACTTACCCCTTATGCCTGGTTTCAAAAAGTTCATGCACCTCCAGTTAGATTTTTTTAATCAGTGAGGATATTTACTCATTGTTGATTGCTGCTCATTGTAACATACTATTGCGCATTCACTTATATTTGCGTATTGAATCAAAGTGTTAACAAGTTCACCTAACATTTCACTCATACCGGTCTATCTTGTATAGTCTGATCTCTCAAGTATTTGGAGCCGCGAATGCTTGTAACTTTCTGACTAAACCCTTTTAATAGTTGGTTTATATACCAAATTCAGTAAAATATGAGATATTGGATTTATTAGATTTTCCATTCTAAATCATATAGACTGCTTTATTTATTCTTAACGAAAATTAATAAATCTCCTCTCTTTCTTCAGATGTGAAAGTTGTGGACAAACCTGTCTAAGCATTGTGAGACTCCTGCAGCACAAGAGGCAATAGCAGAAATAGTAAGTATATCAATCAAGAAATTAGGCCGACATAAAGCAAAACTTTCAACTATTCGTCTAATCTTAATTTCCTATTATTTATTCACAGGACAACTATAGCAGAAGGGGAGATATCAGAAGTCTGGCGACATATCAGTGACAGTGTGATTCCAAGAAATATAATTAGAGTACTCCATAAATGTTTGCAATAGAAAAACAACCTATGGAGGCATGCAAAGACATTTGACCCTCCGGTAGAGTTGTGTATGGCCCCCACATCCTGCAGGGCTTGAGGAAAAGAACTAAAAATTCTATAGCGTAAGATTGCATAAGCGGTCTTATTTGTAAAAAGGCACAAAACACGCCAGACATACTTAAAATAGCTTTGGAAAATGAGGATTACGGGTAACGCACTGCACCTGTGTTATATTTGGTTCATCAACTTTTGGTAGTACTATAGAAGAAATTACGGAAGGGGTATAATCATCATTCATGATAAAATACTATCATATATTTTTTGGACAACTTCAATCTAGACCAGGGATCTAAAACTCGCGGCCCCAGAAAACTTCCAGTGCGGCCCTCGAACGCTTAACAATAATTGTAATAGTATTTTGGAAGTTTTTTTTTTTATCTAAATGTAATAGATTTTTCAAACCTTTTAAAGTGAGATTGATTATCCACACAGAAAACAGTTTACTGAAAGTAGTTTTGGAATATTAATTTTTTTTGTCCACATTTTGACCCAATTAAGAATACACATCAAGCTAGCAAAAGAATACTTGAATAAAACACTTGAGTGATTAAATTAAACGCAAAGTACATGAAGAAGGTGGCATTTTCGAAGAAAATGGGAGTTGCAATATTTCTGCTTTCCACAAAATTTTGAAGCACATTGTTTAATTTGTCATATTTCCATCAATACAATGAAAAAACACAATAAGCTCAGAGGTCAATATGACAAATTCGAAGACCAACTTCGAACAGAAAATTTCCATGTGTTTGTATATTAATATAATTATACAACGACTTGGTTACTAAAAATCAATATCAATAATAATTCAAGCAATCCTATGCCACGCAATGTGGTGCGAAATGTCTTGTCGAAAAAATCTGTCATTTGTTTTTTTACTGATCTATGCATAAAATGATAAAAGTAACTTTTTTGCATTACTGGAATTAATTAAACATTCGCAAAGATCCAGATTAACCCATGATCATGTGGCCTCGTTAGTTAGAGTTGGTACTATAAAATCATTTCAGCCTGGCCTTAGTATGCTGGTGACACAAAAAAAAGATGCCAAACGTCAGGACAAATGTAATTATTAAAACGTTGAGTTTATACTGTAGTATTTTTGTTAATTTTAAGTTCATATATTTAGATTAAGTTATTTTTAGTGTATGTATTATTCTTTCCTTATCCAAAGCTTGTTCAAAAATGATTTTGATGGTTGTACATAGAATTTTATGATTTTTTATAATAAATACAGTAACTTGCAAATGTTGCAATAATAGTGGAATGCAAATATTAATATGTAATTGCATTTGAAATTGAAGAAAATAATAAAACTTAATCCAACTGTTTAGTTGCATCACAATATATGTCACAAACTAAAACTATCTTAAAAATATCTTTCAAGTATACATTAACAAAAACTGTTAAAAACTTGCGGCCCTTTTTACAATTTTCAAAATGCAATGCGGCTCTCGAAAACCCATGAGTTTGACACCACTGATCTATTCTAGACGATTCAAGCATTGCTTTGGGAAATAATATCACTTCAATTAAATTGAAATAATCTCGCTATATTAAATACAAAATCGTTGCTATCATAAAGGTAAACTAATTCAGCCACTCGAAATATATTGGCCTTCACAAAGCAATGGAGGCAAAATTGAGAGTTCATGAGCTATGAACATTTGTTCTTTTCTTTGTCTTGAACTTTTCATACTCCACAGCCCCTATTAATTTTTTATAATTTTAATTACCATGTAATGGTCATACATATCTTTAACTTGTATTTTCTGTCATGATGTATTATCTCAATGTGCCAAACTATTAATTAGTGTGCATATTTTGCTTCCAGATGACATAAATGTATTGTCTTGTTTATTACATCAGCTTGGAGTATTGACAAGAAAAGGTGCCAGTAAATTGGGTAAAAATTTTTTTAACTCTTTGTTATAATCAGAATTCACAATCAATAGAAATTATAAACAGCCAACAATCAATGAGATTTATATGCGAAATCCCTCAGAATAAATTTGTCTAAAATCGGAGGAAGGCAAAAAATATAGGTAGTTTCCACTTTCCATCCACACAAGCATTTCAAGAAGACTTGCTCGAGCCAAACTAAATGAGCATCGTCAGGTGATCGGTAAGGCTGCAAGTTGAATTCAGCCGCCCTGCAACCTCCTGCATAGAAGATAATATTAATTAGTGGGCTATGAGCTAAATTCCTAAATTTAAACAAACCTATCTACGATGCATTATGTACCAGCAATGTTACCTACGATTAACTGAATATGTAATATGTCTAATAAATTCACCTACAAAAGCAAGTTCGATAGGTGCAAACTTTGTGTTATGGAATTGTATCACAGCACAGTTTTGTATGACACCCTCTTTAAATGAAATTTCAATGATTAAGCGCAAACATTAAAATTACTAACTTTGTCATTATCTGCAAAATGTTCCACACAAATCTTTCCGCTATCGCGTTTGTAATCTTCTCTGATAAAAAAAACGTCTATGATGTCCAGAATTGCTCTTTACAGCTTGCCCGCCATTCCAGCCTTCCAAGTGAGCAAAACTTCTTAGATATAGAGATTATTTTGTTTCGTTACAGGCGCGAAAATGCAGGTACTACACGTAAAAAAGACGCCGAGTAGCAAATGCGAGCGGAAAACGGACGCGAAAGGCGACGAGAAGTATGTGCATTGGAGCGTATCATGAAATACAATCTTTCGCCTGTAGTCTTATGGAGTGACGTCAGAGTTGCCTATCATGTTGTTTAATGTCATTGGTGAAAGCATAACAATGAACGCTACATTGTGGTTTGGAGAAATTGAATATCAATTCGTGACGTTCATTTCCTTGGTAAAGACACAAACATTATAAAAAACAGTTGTAGTTTTTTTTTTTACGGATCAGAGTTTTTCCAGTCTCGGATCAGTGCCATAAAGACACGTCATATCCGAGTGATATCGGTATTACGCTTCATAAGCATGCCACTGCGTAAGCAGCGGTCACACAGATAAGACGGCTTCCGTATTCGCTATGCATTGCAATGTCTTCGGCCCCGTGCATCAGTACATCGCACAGCTCAACTTCCGCTATCCCCGGCTTCCGTACAACCTGTGTGGACGTGTAACACGCACACAGACTGACATCTATTGTGAAGCTTACGATTCATCATTTCCGTGAAAATTTGGAGATGGTATTATCGTGGATATGCTCCCTTTTATGGGGGCTGAATTTGAGAGTCATTGTTATATGTTAAAAGCAGAGTTGTTTTTACCCGTAGACCAATTAAGGTGTCGAATATCCATTTAGAATTTCTTTCCAATTCTTTTTCAAACCGAGAAACTGAATGTCCATGTACTTGTGTTCCATCAGAAGCAGGAATTCTAAAAAGGTTATTTTTGCTGCGCCTACAATATTTGGGTCCGTATGGGATATGTACCTGTTTTCTATGTCCAGTTTTAATATCCTGTTGATCATGCTCCTTTTTAAAATGACAAAAAAATTTTTGATCAAAATTTCGTTAGGG